TGATTTATGGCGATGGATTGTTTAAAGTTATTTAAGCTTGTTGGTCTATCAAGAGTGTAGGTCATCCATTTATAGGATAACTCAAGGATTCTCCCAAAGTGGTCTTTATGGATAGTGATTTCAACTCCTCTTATAGATGTTCTTAGATTTGTTCCTACAAGTCTTAGATTTAAGTATAATTATTTTACTAAGCTTGTAAGAATCCTATCAAGTATTTTTGTGAATATTTCTTTGATGGAATCCTAGAAATATTTGTTGTGGAGCTTATAGCTTTTTAGGAGGCTAAGATCTAGTAACCAATGTTAAATAACTCTTTTGGATAGGTTTATTATTTTTTCTTCTTGTTTCTGGTTTATTATTTCAGCAGAGAAGGGATTCATTCTGCTAGAGGATGCCAAGTTGATACTTATGGCAAGAAAAGAATCTCACAAAAAGATACAGGAGAGTCTGAGATGCAAGAGAAAGTAAGGAGATGTTAACCTATTTATATAGTGCTTCCTGACAATTGTAGCATGTAGTCCAAGCAAGCATTAAATGCAAATTATGCTGATAGAAAATCAAATCAAAGTTCTCCCTTTTTGAGCCTCTTAATCAATTAGCTTATGGTTTTAATCGATTAGATTTTCCAATTTCTCAAGATTTAGTGAAATCTTCATAAATGCTGAGATTTGGTTTGCTATAGGCACACGTTAATCTTTGATATTATTTGAAAATAGTTGTTTCAAACTTTTCTAATCAGTTACCATATTGTGCTAATCGATTAGGCTTACGTACTTATGCCTCCTTGGTACGAATTGGGCCTTATGTTGATTTTTCTTGTTTTAGTACTATCTTTTGTCAATGTTTGCACCCTTTATCTATAAGATAGTTAAAATACTCATCTTTATGGGTTAGAAACATTTAAACTTGATGATTAAAATATTTATAAATATTATTTTAAGGGGTTAATCAAATTTTCTAAATTATTTCAACCTTGAAATAATTTAATCTCTCTTATTAATAGATCTTAATAAGTATTCCCCAAAGGGAAGATTCCAAATGGTGTATCATTCTCTACACATCGTTGGATGCGAGAGTTGGCAAAGCCATAAAATATATAGGATCATTACATATGTATATATTCAAACTGATCACTTCTAATCATATGCCTTGAGATATCTCTCAAGAGAAGTTTTAATCACACCTGTTTGCATTTGTCAATATTGTTCATTTTCAGGATCAAAGACTTTATCAATATTGTATATTTTGAAAGTATACATGTTACTTTTACTGCTTTCAGTAATAATTGTTAATAAATCCAAGCAGCAAAGCTTACCTACAAAATATTAAGGTTTCACCTTTGGATCCCATATCTTCTTGGGTCCAGATGCATTAGTCACAAAAGATTTAAGGTGATTACTTTTAGATATTTTCAGCTTTATTAAAACAAAGATTTTAAATGACCTAGTGATTATATACTTGATGTTATTTTATGGTATAGTTTCTCTTTCCTAAAATATATACCATTTATATTAAATGAGGATCTTTGAATAGATAAAAATAAGTCAAATTTTTCCTTAGAGTAAATTTTTCTGAGTTTTCTCGTAGGTTAACTATTTCTTATATAAGAGGTCTATTATGAGAGATTGTTGACATCCTTTAGAGATTTCTTAAGATCTACGACATGCTCTTCGTTTTCTTTCACTAAGTGTCCATTTCATTTTGAATAGCTGTGCATAGGAAGGTTTGATATTTGGAGCAGTGTCTCTCCCGTAGGATGCCTTTAAGCACATTTCATCATCTTTGTTGGAAGATGATTCTTTTAGATTTCTCTCCGAGGTTGATGTTTCTCCTCCTCTTCTTCGTTCGAGTAATGAAGAAATTTCTACATCTTCTATGTGTTTCTTAAACAAGGGGATCCTTTATTTGATGTTGAATTTTCTAAGGATCTACTAAGTGTATTCTTTTGAAGGATTGTACAAGAGTTGTATGATAGAAGTAAGATGAGGATGAGGATTCTTCAGTTGGTATTCCCTCATCTTTGAGTATCTGAACTGGTTCGTTCATCTTCTCTATAATTTCCTTCTTTCTTGATTTTTTCTACAATTCATGAAGAGTCCCATGTATTGATTTAAATGGTGGATTACACTTCCAATTCTTAATTCTAAGATATTTCTTAGCAAAAACTTTCCAGAAAACTTTCCAGTACTTATAATTTTAGAAAAACAACCATGATTATTTTCTTTGTCTCGTGTGTTCATCTTCCCTTGTTTCGTAGTTGGAAAATCTCCATATATCAGTTCAAGAGCATCTCACATTTAATTGCCATTATTGTGATGATAAACATAGTGAAAAATTGTATCAATCAAAGATATTGTTACAAAAAAATTTTGTTTTGAAATTTATTTCAAACTTTCTCTTTTCTTCTTCGGTCCAAAGAAAATCGGATTTATCTTCTATTTCATCACTTACTTGATGAGTAGTGATAAACAGACCATTGACAATAGTTTTCCATAATTCATGGTTTATGCTTTGAAGAAAAATTTTAAACCTAGTTTGCCAATTATGAAATTTTCTATTTTCAAAAAATGGTGGCGTGTTTAAACAAAATCTCTTGTCGGAAGCCATCTTCCTTCTAAGACGGTTAGTCCTTAAACAAAAGTTAGGATCGGATACCTTTTGTTGGACTTGAGACTTCACACACAAGTGGAGAGGTGAATTATGTGGAATGAAAAAATTTGTTTTTAAAAACTTTTGTCAAATAAAATCAGAGTTAATGATTTTTGCAAAACTTAGCAGTGGAAAAATAAAAAAGCAGAAAATAAATTGTGGAAATTAAAAGAGTTTAAGGGAAAAGAATGACACTAAGAATTATAGAGGTTCGGTAAAAAAAAAGGATATACTTCTCTCTCCAGGAATTGATCTTGAAAGTTTCCAATAATAACATGCTGGACTTCAATCTATCTTATTTTAACATCGGACTTACCTAGAACCTAGAAGATTTTATACAAGCTGATCTCCACCCTAAACTAGGACTCAAATACTCATTCTCAAACAGAAGCTTTTACGGGTTTAGCTTTAACCCAAACATATTCTTAATTGGACATTATTCAACCAAGTTATACACAAAAGGTTTTCTTGGTAAATTTTACAATTCTACCCATTCTAGAATTACAGAAATAATCTAACTCAAAAAAAGGATTTTTCTCGTAAGTACACTTATGCTAAAAACATAGTAAGAGAAAGTTAAAGAAATGTTTAGAGTGAGAGATGAAAGTGTCAAAACACGATTCTGGATTATTTGAAATGAGAACTAAAATCTCTATTTATAGGCTTGAGGTTGGCTCAAAAAGAAAATTTCAATAAACTCATTTTGTAACAATCTAATCGATTAGAAGATAGAAATAATCGTTTGTAAATTCTCAAAAAGAAAGTTTAAGATATCTTGCCGTTTTACAAAATCAATGTGCCTTTAACATATCTTGAGCCTTAAGTTTGCGCATTCCTAATCGATTGGACAAATATTCTAATCAATTAAAAAAGTCAAAATTTGTCTATGGCTATTTTTCATTTGATACAACTTCCATATGTTTTTCAACGTATTTTCTTTTGGTAAAGCATTTCGAAAATGGTTTAGTGTGTGTGCACTTTAGCCATATGTTTTTACAATAAAGTCCTTTTGTCTTACAACCGTTCCCTCGTTATTAAATTTGGAGATCACCACATTTCTTCAAGACTTTGTCAAATATTACTCTTTATGTTGACAAGTTCTTGAGTGGCTTGAGACGGGGATTTAATTGTAATCTTTATTTGCCATCGTCGGATTGTCGAGTTCATCAAATCTTAAAAATAGGCGTGCATCTTTATTCGTTTAAATCGTTCATGTTTAACGTATGATTAGTTCTCATCATAGTTGTCATCATCAAAAACTAATGTCCTTGTTAAAATCATATCACCTATAAATCAAGGTTTCACAAATGTCACTAGCTTTAAATGCGAAAAATTAAGTCACTATAAGACCACGTGTTTGAATCTCAACAAACATCATAAAAAAAAAGAATAAGAAATTCTACAAACCAAAGGCAAACATGTTAGAGTTCGTAGAGCTTAGAAGAAGATGAGAACTCCACTTCATATTCCGACTCAAGTTCTAACGATGAATGTGATAACCTTGTGTCACAAGATTCATCCTTAATACTTTTAGATACAAATCTAACATAAATTAAACAACCAACTTTAACCCTTCAAGTAGCTACCAATAGTATAATCATCGGCTAACTTCACTAGGTTCGTTCACTCTTGACGTGCAAATAAAGATGAGATGATGTGTTTGTCATGAAGAAATAAAAAAGAGACCGAAGAATTAAACAAAAGTCAATGATGATTGATGAACAATGAAAGTAGTTGGTTGAGCACAAATAAAAAATTGATGCACACGCTTAGAATTGAAGCACAAAATCAGATAATTTATGACCAGGAACAAGAGATAGCTTCAACACTGAACAGATCCGAGAATCGAACCCAACCGACATGATATCCGCAAACCACCGCCGCCGGACCAAAGTGCCGCCATTTCGCCAGAGCACGTTCACAACCCCCGTGCGGCTCGCTGGAAAATTGGCTACATTTCCCCTTCATATATATGTTGAACAATATTGCAGAGTTATGCTGATGAGAATGAACAATCCTCACTACAACTAATGTCACCTAATTTATGACATGAAGAGTTTTGTATTAATCCTTTTGAGCCTGTCATAAATATAGGGGACATAATGGCTCTAGACATACCAAAATGATGATCTTTGACAAAATCTAAACCAATAGAGTTTATGCATAGTAAATATTTGTGATAGAAGAATCAATAACATTCATTCACACAAACTCCTGAAATATATATCCTGCAGAGTAATTTCATAGCTAGGAGATTCTAATATCAGCTATAATTAATGTACTAATGATAGTAGAGACAACAACCATACTGAATGGTATCGCGCTTAGAGGTGTTGCATTCGTGTGTCTGGCTATTTACCGCAAAGGCGAAAACATAGCTCTTCAACCTGCTCGTAAGGGCTACTATTCGACAGAGGGAAAATGCCACTTCTCCCATTGTTCAAGCATGTCACCTGAAGTTGATTTCCGATCAGGTCATCCTGCAGCATTATATCACAGAAATGTGAGCAACAGTAATAAGTCAAGTTTAGTTGTTGAACTTTTCAAGTATTAAATCATCATAAGAAAATTTGTTTGGCAAATAAGTTAACCATATATGCATAATCGAGACTGGTTCTTTAATGTGTCAACAGAACAAAAGATTAGTTATATAAAAATAAAAGATAAGTTATAGCAGTTGTAATCTAGTGTTATTTCAATGGTGAATTCTGTTTTACGGTTATTCAGAGTAGTTAACTTAGATATGTACAATTTGTAAATCACTTCTACGAGGGTGCTTCATAGAAGCTGCATAGATCAAATGAATACATAAGAAAGTAGCAGCATCACTCACCTCACATGAAATGTGACCTGGTTTACAGCTGGGAGGGGCACAAGTTAGATAGTGGCACCAAGAGCAGTAATCATTCAAGTTCACCCCTTTAAGAAACAAGACAAGGCCGCCGACCAATCTGTAAACAAACCAACTTTCACATTTGGAGACACAAGTTCATAACAATGTAATTCTCCCAACAGCAACAACAACAAAAACGAGAGACTGTTACCCAACACTTAGTAGCACGAAAGAGATAATTCGAAGGGCATATTGATAAGATTCTTGCTTCGGGGAAGAATTAGACATGGCTCGATTAAGCCCATTATACTGAGGGCGAATCAGAATGACAAATCCAAGAAGAAATCCTGATGTAAATCCTCCAATGTGATTAAAATTATCTCCATATGAAAAAGTTCCAAGAACTAAGTAGATGGTAATGGTCACAGTAATAATCACCATCTTAACAAACTGCAAAACAATAACAAAAAGGAAACTAACAAATGTCAGAAATTTATTGGACACCATCATTGAGCTTAATAATGTATAAACTTATTTACCTTATGAGTATCTACTTTCCAATTTGTTAAAAGCTCTAATAGCATTCCTCCTAGCAAGCCCAATATTGCACCAGATGCGCCAACATAGATGATCGATTGAAGGAATAAAACGCACAGCAAATTTCCTCCCAAACCAGATATCACATACACCAATCCAATTCGAACTAAAAAAAAAAAAAACTAGTTAAGTAAAACTGTTATCATATTCAAAATTGGCACATAGAAGAAATCAAAAGCCAATAACCAGAACCTTACCAAATCCAAACTTCTTCTCCATAGGGATTCCAATGGCTAAAAGAACCAACATGTTGAGAAGCAAATCCATAACCCCTCGCTGCAACCATATAGATGTGAATAGGCGCCAAACCTGGTGCATATGAACCAGTTTGTCCACATGTAAAGCACCCATCTTGATTAACCTGAAAAATTAACAGATGTGAGAACAACATACATATTTTGATGGATTTAGATTGAATGCAGTTGAGTCAAAATACATTGCGTAAATGTAAGCTTTCAAAGTTTGATCGAACGGTCTGCAATTCTGTATATGTCATCACCAGTTTCCTATATAGAATTGCTAGTGTTGGAAGCTGTGAGGACTAATCTAAATTAAACATTACACGTTATATAAACAAATTTTACTGCATCTAAACAAAATAACAAAAATCTGAAGTAAAATATAATAAAACAACAAGTATAGATACTAAACTTAAAAAAACAGATTAAAACCAAACACATATGAGTTGATGTGATTCATAAACACCCATATAAGATAATGCTACTGCTATCATAACTTGATTAATAAGCAATTTTTTGAGCTGAAAGGTAATAGATTGCTTTCAAAAGAAGTGATTTTAATAAATAAGAAAAAAAAGAGAAATGTAGTAAAGCACTGACGGATAATAAGAAGGACCAATGAGAGGGTTCTGTTGGAGTGGCTGAAACGAGAATCGACCAAGAAACGGAGCAAAACATGAAGTGGGAGGAATGGAAAGCTCTGGACAATTGTTGACATACATTGTCACCAAAAACAAGATCAAATTTACCACCAGAATCATCGGAATCAGCACCGGGAACCAACGCTTCAACGGAGGAGGAGTGTAAACAACCGGCATTTTGATTTGAACTTTGTTTGAATCCATCAACACTACTGGTTCTTTGAGATTATGGACTTGTTTGTAGTTCTTCATTATGATGAATGAATAAAAATGAAGTAACTTGGTTGAGATGATGTAAATAATGCAAACGCGCGTTTGACATATTTGGAAAGGAATAATAAAAGTAAGGTTTAACAAGTTTTAGAAAAATGAATGAGACTTATTTGTTTCTATCTAAACGTTCTTTTGTTTTTGTGTGACCTTTGCAAGTGCAACCAACTCTAGCTTTGCGTGGCTTCAATGTGAATTCCTATTTTAAGCTAAGTTTCTGCCGGTGCTCTGCGTAATTTTGTGTAGTAGGAGCCAATATGGAAGGATATGATTGTTGAGTGTGAAACTTGAACTTAGAATGATTGTCACATAAATAAATAAAGTGCATATTAGCTGTTACACATTAGTTGGAATAATCTTGAGAAATTATTTGGGCTAATCAAAGAGGTAACTTTTGTTGACAATTTTTTACGGTGTAATTGCATGTAATTGTAGCGTTAGTTGTGTGAGGTCCAAAATAAATTTAAACTTGTATAAATACATATCATGTTGCTAAAAAAATATTGTAAAATGTTTTACTATTTTTATTGGATTTCCAGAAAACACCACCTATATCGCACTTCTCAGATCAAATTTGAATAATATATTCCATAATTAATGTGATTCATTAATTCAAATTCAAAATGAATCATGGCGTCAATGTGTACTTATTTTCTTTTTTTTTAATAATTTATTATTGAGTTATTCATCAATACATATGAATGGTTCCACATCATTATGATTTAACTTTCTTAATAGAATAAAATAAGTAACACTATAATAAAGTAAGGGTAATAGAGATCAAGATGATGTGATGGATGTGTTGTAAAATTCGACATGAAAAATTAGAAATGAAAAGATTAGAGAGAGTGTTGAGACGTCTGTAATAGAGAAGATGGTGGAAAATAGACTTAGGTTATGTTTGATAAAATCAGTTTATAGCTAATTGCTAGTAGCTGATAAGTTAATTTGAATATTTGATAAATTAGTTGTTACAGTAGCTAATAATTACACAGTAATTTAAAAGGACATTTTTAATTAAAAAAATGATGATTTCATTATCTTATTATAATATATTATTAAAATAATTTTTATTCTATAAAAGTAAATGTATTAATAACAAGCAAAACAGTTTTTATATATATAAAAAATTGAAGATATCATCGAAATATATAAATTTGTATATAAGTTTTATGAGATTTGCTATTTATTATGAATATATTGACAACGAAATTAAATGAATAAAAAAATCAGCAATTCATAAATGAAACAGGGGTATTCCATAAAGTCATTTATGAAGACATAAAAGTAAAAATAATTCTAATAACTACACATTTTTGTCTGATTAACTCATTCTTTCGTAAAATATGATTTTTTTTCTTCTAATTTTATAATAAAATTTAATAAAATACGTGAAACAATAATATTGTAATTTTCAAATTTAGTTATATTAATCTAAAATAATAACAAAAATAAGTTTATTGTCTAATATTTTACAATAAAACTCTGAATTTTCTTCACTTTTGTTGATTTCGTTGATTCTCTTTCGATGTTTTACTAATTTAAGAATTATCAACACTATTTCTAAATTAATTATATAATTTATATTTAATAAATAAAAATAATGTCTAATAAGGTAGAAAAAATAGTAAAAATTTGCTATAACATTCTTCAAAATCTCTATAAATTCAATCTTTTAAAATCAATGTTTTAATAGTATATATATATATATATATATATATATATATATATATATATATATATATATATATATATATATATATATATATATATATATATATATATATATATATATATATATATATATATATATATATATATATATATATATATATATATATATATATATATATATATATATATATATATATATATATATATATATATATATATATATATATATATATATATATATATATATATATATATATATATATATATATATATATATATATATATATATATATATATATATATATATATATATATATATATATTGTTCTGAACTGGGCCAGAAGCTGCCCCACTATCATATATATATATATATATATATATATATATATATATATATATATATATATATATATATATATATATATATATATATATATATATATATATATATATATATATATATTGTTCTGAACTGGGCCAGAAGCTGCCCCACTATCGGGCACGGCTCAACTCATTTCTTAGTCGGGGAGGGCCCAGCTTATCACATCACACGGGGAGCGCTCACGCGTCTTCCACACGAACTTCACGTGCCTCCCACGCGGGGACACGTCATCAGGCAACTACCCATCTTCCGAAGATCATGGAGCAGTTGACTTAGGGCGAAGACCACATACTGGTCTTCCCTACGCCATGTAAGTCCTGGCAGTTATTCGTATTGGGCTTAGCGATCCAACCCAATGCAAAGTAATTGTTGGCTCCGCGCTAGGGGCACATTATAAATACCCTCTTTCACTAGAGAGTCAGGTATTCTATTCACAATGTAGCTTTCTGTACTTGCCTTTCTCTTACTCTGTTTCTTATTTTGGCATCGGAGTACCTTGCACGTACACGTCATCCTTTTATCCACCATTGGTAAATTAAGGAGTTCACGACGTGTTGCTGGTCGTTGATCCCTTTTTGATCCGGTAAGATCAACGACACCGTCTATGGGAAACTTGCTTCCCCGTTCTTTCTTCCATAGAAATTCAAGAACCAAAGCATACTTCAATCTTCGTTGGTCATGGTCAGCCCACGCACTGACGACGACGTTCAGGAAACCGCCTTCACCAGTTTCACCAACGACGACGCCAGGGACGGGCACATCTCCTTTCCCTCCCCCAATGATGCGGCCTTCAATGCCGCCCGACGCTTCGATAGCCCAGTTGTCTTCTAACCAATCCTTATGTCTCCCAACGCCGACCTGACCATGGTGGCTCTATTCGCGAAAATCGATCAGATAAACTTGATGATCTTCCAACAACACGAGTGGATCGAAATACTGGAAAAGGACTGATAATCACGCTCTTCCCCGCGGAGACATTGTCGCCCAATTTCTCGCAACTCGTCCCAGCGACGATGAGAAACATGTCCTTCCCCTCTCCCGCGGAGGCCCTAACGTGATGAATCTCGGAGTTCCTCTCCATGATAACCCGGGCGTCGTCCACGACTAGAAAGGCCTCAGCCCGTAGCCTCTCAGAAGAGTGACCGCTCACTTCCTCGGAAAGAGCGATGCTCCCCGGCTCCCAAGAGAAGCAGAGTTGATAGGCAGACTGGAAAATCGAAGAGTCGTCTAAGAAGCCCTTCATGTCGTGGCAAGAGCCCTCAGTATGACCCTTCCCCCTCACAATCACCCATCAGAAGCGACAAGGATGACCCCCACACTCCTCTGTCCAGGGCTATCATGGAGACTCGCCTCCCCGTTGGAGTGGAAAAGCCCTCAACCCTGGCTACCTACGATGGTATGACCGACCCGGACGACCACATTGAAAGCATCAATGTGATGCTCCACTACCGGAATGTTCAAGGGGCCATCAAGTGCAGGATCTTTCCCACGATCCTAAGGAAGGGCGCAATGGCGTGGTATAAGGCCTCGAGCCTGAATCCATCACCTCTTGGAGGAAGCTAAAGAGGCCGTTCTCCAGGCATTTTATCGCTTCTCGGCGAAACCTGAAGACAGAAGCATCCCTAGAAGCCATCATTCAAGGGAATGAAGAATCTTTTTGTAACTACAGAGAGAGATTCAACCGAGAAGCTGTACAAGTATCTACCTCGGACGACATGAAGAGGTATCTGATTGAGCAAGGACTATGACCTCGCACTGAGTTCGCCAAGGCCGTCAGCATCGAAATGCCTAACACGGTAGATGTGCTCCTTCACAAGGCCTAAGCCTACATTCAGTACGAGGAGAAGGAATCCGCAACTGCGCCTGCGACTCGCGGAACCAGAAAAGTGCCAGAAATTCCAAGCATAAAGACGTCACTACTGCCTGACGAGGCGGTGAGAGAAGGAGAGAGGATCGAGCCCGAGATTCCTAGGAGTAAAGAGGGCTAGACCCATTTACCGAGTATACGCTACTCACAATTCCCCGCGAACGCTTTCTGGCCTAGTGCATTAACTCAAAGTTCCAAAGAGGTGGTGTCCGCTTCCCGAAGCCGACACCTCTTAAGCCCAACATCAACAAATCCAAGTACTTCTGGTTCTACAGAAGTCATTGACACGTTATTGAAGATTGTATCAACCTCAAGGATTCCATCAAAACCCTAATCAAGGAGGGGCACCTGAAACAATACACTCGAAGGAACGAGGTTTTTCGACAAGAAACTCGCAAGGCGAAGAAGGTCGAGGAGGTGTCGCCACCCTCTTACGAGACCGGGCTACAAGTCGCCCTGTGTATCTGTCAGCCAGAGGACTTCTACCTCCCTTATGAGGCCGACATAACATTGTTCGCTCGCAGCCCTTGGGAGAACTTCTTAGACGTGATGTTCATATCCGACAGGGGTCCCGATAAGTTTTCAGTAGGGTCGATCAAGAGGAAATTTGAGGAGCTGGTCGACAAGAGTTCAAAGCAGAGTGCTGCCCTCGATAAGTTCAAGGGTAACTCGAACCTAATCACCTTATACCTCGAAGAGCTGCCTAGTGGCTCCCCTAATTCTAGTATCCCCCTGCTGATCAGGGCTTAGATGGCGAACTTCGACGTCCGCCACATTCTCGCCGACCAAGGAAGCTCAGTGGACAATGTATGCCCACCTGTTCACCACTCTCCAGCTCGACGAGAGTCATTTGACGTGGTATATCAGCTCTGACTTGCAGGGCTTCAATGGCACCACCACGAGGGCATGGGGCTATGTAGAGATGCTCGTCACCTTCGAATTAGAAGAGACTGCAAGACAAGTCAAGGTTCGCTTCTTGGTAATAAAGTATCCATCTCTGTACCAATGCATTCTAGGAAGACCAACCCTAGCCGAGTTGACTGCAGTTCCATCTACAGT